AGGCTCCAGCAGCGGCCACACAAAAAAATTGACACCAACCCCTCCCTCCCCCCCTTCTCGGCTTCCCTCCGCCCCGAGGAGGGCGCGGGGGAGACGGCGGCCGAAAGAAGGGAGAGAGGGGAAGAAAGAGAGGAGAAAGAAAAGGGGGAAGGGGCGGAGAGAGGGAGGAGGGACGGGAGCGAGGGCGAGAGGCGAGAAGCCCAAGTGCGGGGCTGCCCACGGCACCGAGGGTCGGAGATTCCTCTGAGCGGCGCCGAGCAAAGTAATGGCTGAACACACAGGTCTCCTTTAGAGGAAAAAAAATAACTCACCAAGCAGGCAATAAATCAGAATAGCGGAATGCTTTGATCAAGAGACTGGGAGGCTCCGGGGAGCCCTCCCCGCGGCCATTCTCCGCCGCGCCCCCCGACCCCCGAAAACGCTTGCCCCCCGAGTCAAAATCGGGTCTGAAAAGGTCGCGGAAAAGTGGGGGCAATGAACTTCACCCGCCCCTCGCACAGGAAAACACCCCCGCCGCCTCTCACACACGCCTCGGAGAAAACTCACTCCCAGGCTCCCAAATTTTTAAGAAATGCATCCAGGGGAGGCCAGGGCTTCCCAGCGATCTGAGAGGGACGAGACCCCCCAGAGAGGGAAGCATAATAATGAAATAATTAGGGGAGGAGAGGGCAAAACTGGGAGAGGTGGATTAGGGAGGTGGAGGAAGGGAAGGAGGATGCTGGAGCAGTTGTGGGGTTTGCTTTTCGGTCTTGGAGGGGGGAGGAGGGGGAGCAGAAAGAAGAGAGGAAGCAGACCCCGACGCTGCCACCCACACCCCTCCTCAAAAAAAATTTTTTTCCAGTCCCAGAGAAGAGGTCACCCTTCCTCAAAAAAGGGAGGGGGTGAGTCTGTCGAGGAGGAAAGCAGAAGGAAATCTCCAGCGGGAGAGACACCGGTGTGCCGCCGCCACCGCCTCCTGCTGCCGCTGCCTCTCCGCTTCGCCCAGCCCGAGGAAGGAGCGCGGCCAGGAAGCGCTGGGAACGCCACTCTC